ATTTCACGTCAGTATTTTAATACTTCGAATTACGTAAGAATTTTATATGCTCTTCCAGTTTTAACACTCTAACAGAAACGTTGAAGGTCATTCACGCTTTGCTAAAGCGAGATCTCAATCAGTTTATCATGAGAAAGTTTTCTAACATGGATATACAGAAAACGCGTTAGTAACAGTAAATGTTAGAGCAAAGAAAATACCGAGGTCTCCGAAACGTTTTCATTGAAGATATGGTGAATTTATTTGGCGCTTTCTTTGCATTAAAACTCTTGGAGAACTTGCGATTTCAGTAGACTAATGATTTGCGTACGTTGTTAATTTTCCTATCAAACTATCGAATGATATGAAGCTAATGCAATAAGATAAATTACTAAACAAATTTAGCTCTAATACTCACTTACATCTAACTGACGGGATCATACGAATGGTTACTTTGTTGATTTTTTTAAAATTAGTGCATTATCAATAATATCTATCAAGTTCAACCACAAATATAGCTATTCCCCGATCATGGCGAGTCATTTGTTCCTGTCTCTTATACACATCTAGATGTGTATAAGAGACAGATAAATAACTATTAAATTATATAATATATAAAGAACTATAAAAAATAACACATAAATGAAAAATAAATGAATGAAATGAAATTATAATAAAATAATAAATAAATGAAAAAACAATAATAAATAAATGAAAAAAGAATAAATAAAAGTTTAATGTCCCAGGCGCGGGGTCCGGAGGCCTGGCCCTGGCCATCGAGGGCCCGGCAGAGGCCGGTCTCGTGTGCCGGGACAACAGGGACGGGTCCTGCACGGTCTCCTACACCACCGACGTCCCGGGCCTCTACGACGTCGCGGTCCGGTTTGCCGACGTCCACATACCTGGGTCACCCTTCAAGGTGGGTCAAGTGGGGCAAGTGGGTCATGGGGGTCACCCTTCAAGGTGGGTCAAGTGGGTCATTAGGTCAAGTGGGTCATGGGGGTCATGTGGTGGGACAACAGGGACGGGTCCTGTACGGTCTCCTACACCACCGACGTCCCGGGCCTCTACGACGTCGCGGTCCGGTTTGCTGACGTCCACATACCTGGGTCACCCTTCAAGGTGGGTCAAGTGGGTCATTAGTGGGTCACCCTTCAAGGTGGGTCAAGTGGGTCATGGGGGGTCATGAGGGTCATGTGGTGGGACAACAGGGACGGGTCCTGCACGGTCTCCTACACCACCGACGTCCCGGGCCTCTACGACGTCGCGGTCCGGTTTGCTGACGTCCACATCCCTGGGTCACCCTTCAAGGTGGGTCAACAAGTGGGTCAGGGGGGAGAAGTGGGTAAGATTTGGGCATTATAACCCATTCATATCTCTCAGTTTTACATTATATTCTATAAATAATTAATCAGTATAAATAATAATAATATGAAATAATAATTCTAATTAAAGAATGTAAAGTGTGTCACTAATAGGAGATAATTGACCCAATAATTTTTGTAAGTGTAGGTGTATAAATAATAATAATTAGAAATATTGGGCCAAAGGTGGGTCATGAGACCAAAGGTGGGTCATGGGACCAAAGGTGGGTTATGGGGCCAAAGATGGGTCATGGAACCAAAGGTGGGTCATGTGACCAAAGGTGGGTTATGGGGCCAAAGGTGGGTCATGGGACCAAAGGTGGGTCATGTGACCTAAGGTGGGTCATGGGACCTAAGGTGGGTCATGGGACCAAAGGTGGGTCATGGCCATAACTAAATGAATTACACTCAAAAAAATCCAGAAATTTTTTCCAAAAAGCAATCTTTTTGTTTATCCAAGTGAGTCAATTTGACTCACTTTGTCCCGGCAACAGTACGCGTGTGTTAAACATACCAGAAGTGTGTTACTATTTATATATTGAAACACATTAATTAATTTTAGTGTAGATAATATTATATTATAATATAATATAATAATATAAAATGAAATTGTCCAATTTATGACTCACTTTCTGCACGTAGCACTGATACGGCGTATTGCCGGGTTAAATTAAGACAAATTGTATCACATTTATTTGAGTGTAAGCGCTACTTAAATGATTCAATGGCTAATAAATCAACAAAAAATCATAAATAAATAAAATAATAATAAATAATTATTATTTATAATTCTAAGAATAAATATTGTATAAATAACTTATAAAAACAGTAATAAATGGAATAACTATAAAAAATAAATAAATAAATAAAATAATCATAATTCTAATTAGAATTATAAATAACATACATAAATGAAAAATAAATATTGTAATAAAATAATAAATAAGGGATAAAAACANTGCACTTTTGTCTGATGCACTTTTGTCTGATGCACTTTTGTCTGATGCACTTTTGTCTGATGCACTTTTGTCTGATGCACTTTTGTCTGATGCACTTTTGTCTGATGCACTTTTGTCTGATGCACTTTTGTCTGATGCACTTTTGTCTGATGCACTTTTGTCTGATGCACTTTTGTCTGATGCACTTTTGTCTGATGCACTTTTGTCTGATGCACTTTTGTCTGATGCACTTTTGTCTGATGCACTTTTGTCTGATGCACTTTTGTCTGATGCACTTTTGTCTGATGCACTTTTGTCTGATGCACTTTTGTCTGATGCACTTTTGTCTGATGCACTTTTGTCTGATGCACTTTTGTCTGATGCACTTTTGTCTGATGCACTTTTGTCTGATGCACTTTTGTCTGATGCACTTTTGTCTGATGCACTTTTGTCTGATGCACTTTTGTCTGATGCACTTTTGTCTGATGCACTTTTGTCTGATGCACTTTTGTCTGATGCACTTTTGTCTGATGCACTTTTGTCTGATGCACTTTTGTCTGATGCACTTTTGTCTGATGCACTTTTGTCTGATGCACTTTTGTCTGATGCACTTTTGTCTGATGCACTTTTGTCTGATGCACTTTTGTCTGATGCACTTTTGTCTGATGCACTTTTGTCTGATGCACTTTTGTCTGATGCACTTTTGTCTGATGCACTTTTGTCTGATGCACTTTTGTCTGATGCACTTTTGTCTGATGCACTTTTGTCTGATGCACTTTTGTCTGATGCACTTTTGTCTGATGCACTTTTGTCTGATGCACTTTTGTCTGATGCACTTTTGTCTGATGCACTTTTGTCTGATGCACTTTTGTCTGATGCACTTTTGTCTGATGCACTTTTGTCTGATGCACTTTTATTTGATGCACTTTTGTCTGATGCACTTTTGTCTGATGCACTTTTGTCCAAATCGTGATGCACTTGATGCTAACTCAAGCGGGAATAAAAACTGCCTAATGGGTGAGGAAAAAACGGTATTGCCGTTTTTTCCGGGTAAAAAGAAACGGTACTGCCGTTTTTTCTCATTCACGGCAGAAAACCTTGTGAACACAGCTTTCTCTTAATATGAAATAGCCTGACATAGGCCGATATTCTTATATGAATGTTTTGAAATCTATGGATCAATTCGAGGATAAATTACAAAGGTTGAACTAAATAAAAAAAGGTTCAAATTGCAGGAATGTGGGATTTCAATTCAGGTATACAAAGCATCCCATATAACCTTAATTAAATTAAAGGAAAAAGAGTCTCTTTTATATGTCCGTTGTGGGGAGACGGAATGCTCTATGTCGTATCTCCTACACCCAAACAAAATTCGGGGACCGCCCAGGCTTCTGCCCAAGAGTCGCTACACTCGGCGCAAAGTTATTCTAGTTATTTATTCTATATATATCTATAAGTTATAGAAATATATTTATTCTATATTTGAAAATTATAAATATAAATATNATACTCACCCATCTCACCCTATACTCACCCTAGTCAACCCTAGTCGCCCTATACTCACCCAACTCACCCTATACTCACCCATCTCACCCTATACTCACCCTAGTCAACCCTAGTCGCCCTATACTCACCCAACTCACCCTATACTCACCCATCTCACCCTATACTCACCCTAGTCAACCCTAGTCGCCCTATACTCACCCAACTCACCCTATACTCACCCATCTCACCCTATACTCACCCTAGTCAACCCTAGTCGCCCTATACTCACCCAACTCACCCTATACTCACCCATCTCACCCTATACTCACCCTAGTCAACCCTAGTCGCCCTATACTCACCCAACTCACCCTATACTCACCCATCTCACCCTATACTCACCCTAGTCAACCCTAGTCGCCCTATACTCACCCAACTCACCCTATACTCACCCATCTCACCCTATACTCACCCTAGTCAACCCTAGTCGCCCTATACTCACCCAACTCACCCTATACTCACCCATCTCACCCTATACTCACCCTAGTCAACCCTAGTCGCCCTATACTCACCCAACTCACCCTATACTCACCCATCTCACCCTATACTCACCCTAGTCAACCCTAGTCGCCCTATACTCACCCAACTCACCCTATACTCACCCATCTCACCCTATACTCACCCTAGTCAACCCTAGTCGCCCTATACTCACCCAACTCACCCTATACTCACCCATCTCACCCTATACTCACCCTAGTCAACCCTAGTCGCCCTATACTCACCCAACTCACCCTATACTCACCCATCTCACCCTATACTCACCCTAGTCAACCCTAGTCGCCCTATACTCACCCAACTCACCCTATACTCACCCATCTCACCCTATACTCACCCTAGTCAACCCTAGTCGCCCTATACTCACCCAACTCACCCTATACTCACCCATCTCACCCTATACTCACCCTAGTCAACCCTAGTCGCCCTATACTCACCCAACTCACCCTATACTCACCCATCTCACCCTATACTCACCCTAGTCAACCCTAGTCGCCCTATACTCACCCAACTCACCCTATACTCACCCATCTCACCCTATACTCACCCTAGTCAACCCTAGTCGCCCTATACTCACCCAACTCACCCTATACTCACCCATCTCACCCTATACTCACCCTAGTCAACCCTAGTCGCCCTATACTCACCCAACTCACCCTATACTCACCCATCTCACCCTATACTCACCCTAGTCAACCCTAGTCGCCCTATACTCACCCAACTCACCCTATACTCACCCATCTCACCCTATACTCACCCTAGTCAACCCTAGTCGCCCTATACTCACCCAACTCACCCTATACTCACCCATCTCACCCTATACTCACCCTAGTCAACCCTAGTCGCCCTATACTCACCCTAGTCGCCCTATACTCACCCTAGTCGCCCTATACTCACCCTAGTCACCCTATAGTCACCCCAGTCACCCTATACTCACCCAACGCAGGGGTTACTTATATATTATAATATATTATATTTATATATGTTATGATATATGTTCGGACATGCTTTCTTTATGGTTGGGGATTAGGATTTTGGTTGGGGTTAGGGTTGGGTAGGGGTTGGGGTTAGGGTAGGGGTTAAGGTTGGGGTTGTGGTTGGGGGTTGTGTTGGGGTTGTGGTTTGGGGTTTGTGTTGGGGTTAGGGTTGGAATTAGGGTTGAGGTTGGGGTTGGGGTAGAGTTTAGGGTTGAAGTTGGGGTTAAAGATATAAATATATAAAAAATTAAAGATATATGAAACTAATAATCCTAAGGAGGTTAGGTCCAGGTATTATTATTATTTTTAATAACATTTTGAATTATTATTTAGAATGTTATTTAAAAAAAGATCATAGATGCGGCCTATGAAAGTTCTGCCTCTATATACATTATATTCAAATATTCTATTTGTATTTTATAATATATATTCTGTAATATAATATCAATCGTGTATAACATTCATATATTCTGCCATTAATAATAAATATGATATTTAGTATGTAATTTATTATTATATGTCAACTATATATAGTATTCATATATTCTATTACTGTCATGTTATATAGTCTTATATAATTTGTTATATTTTCTATTAATTATGTATATCTTTATATTGTAACATTGTGTGAATATACATTACTACCGCTTGTATAATTCGTATATATTGTTTATCAATATATTGTATTATATTGTATTAATCATAAATATAATATGAATTATATAATATTTATTAAATATATAATAAAATATACATTATTATATTTATATTTATATTTATAATATAATAATATATATATATTATATATATATATATATCCCCACAGCCCGTGGACCCACACCCCCCTGCCCCCCCGTGGACAGTCCCCCGTCAAGGAGACGTTCACCCAACGTCGGGCCTCGTCCCCCAGCCAGTCCCCCGTGACACCCGCGGGGGTGCGGGTCACGGGCCCGGGGGTGACCGAGTCCCCCAGCGTCCCCGCGTCCCTCCCCACCGAGCTGGGGGTCGATGTAACGGGTGCCCCCGACGGGGGAATGGGGGACGTCGCCGTGGACGTCATCGTACGTCGTGGGGAACTGGGGGATAAATGGGGGATTTGATTTAATGATTAATTTTTAAATTTAATTTTTAAATTAATTAATAATTTAAGTTTAATTTAAATTTTAATTTAATTTTTGAATTAATTTTCAATTTAATTTTTAAATTCAATTTTAATTCAATTTTAATTCAATTTTTAAGTTAATTTTTAAATTAATTTTTAAAATAATTTTTAATTAATAATGATTATAATCTTATACATTTTTTATTAATGCATATATATAATATATAATGAATGATGAATATATAATATATATAATAAATTATGTATATATATATATAATATATATATAATCTGTCTCTTATACACATCTAGATGTGTATAAGAGACAGTAATAATACCAAGAGCACAACAGATAACGAAAAAATAAAACTTCTGATCTACTACAAAAATAAGAAAATTAAAAACATCGTAATGAACAATAATCCTTGTAAAAAATCCGGACTGCTTCAAGAAACTAATGTTGTTTATAANTAGGCCGCTACGTGTACTTAGGCCGCTACGTGTACTTAGGCCGCTACGTGTACTTAGGCCGCTACGTGTACTTAAGCCGCTACGTGTACTTAGGCTTTCTGGTGTTGAATTTGAGAAAAAACGCTACATTTCTTTATGGCTTGCAACCTAGAACGTGATGGACCCAAAAGTGATAACAATTAAAGATCCTGAACTATTCCAGATCCGGAAACCTCTGAGTATAAGAAGATTTTGAATTGTCTCTTTATCTTTTAGTCATTTTACAGTTTTTTTTAGTCATTTTACAGAATGCTTTGATGAAAATTGGAATCGTAAATGATTTATTTTCAAATTGTCCAAATTTTTGCAACTTTCCTTAATATAACCTGAAATAAAACTATATACATTATCCTACTAATGTATAGTTTTATAGATCCTAATATCCTAACCCCCATCCCCCTCATCCCCCAGGCGGAGGCGTGCACCCTACAGGAGGGTGTAGGACGGCTCCTACGCACGGGGGAGGAGTACTGCATCACCGTGGACGCGCGGGGGGCGGGCCGGGGGGCGGTCACCTGTAGGATACGGGCCGCTGACGGCAGGTGAGCTCACCCGCTGATGGGGGAATGAACCACTGAGATCCTTACTGATGGGGGACTCCCCCACTGAGGTCCCCAATGATGGGGGACTCCCGCAGTGAGATCCCCCGCTGGTGGGGGACTCCCCCACTGAGCTTCACCCACTGGTGGGGGACTCCCCCACTGAGCTTTCCCACTGACGGGGGACTCCCCCACTGAGCTTCACCCCGCTGATGGGGGACTCCCCCACTGAGCTCCCCACTAATAGACTTCTTCACTGAACTCCCCCACTAATAGTTTCCCCCACTAATATGTTCCCCCACTAATAGGTAATATAAGTTCCCCCACAATAGGTTCCCCCTCTCTAAATGAGCTCCCCATTTGAATGAATTCCTCTAAGTGGGTTCCCCCACTGAATGGCTTCCCCACGCCCACTAACTGGCCTCCCCCTGGTCCCCCAGCGACGTGGACGTGGACGTGGTGGACGGCGGGGACGGCACCTACAGCGCCTACTTCACCGTGGGGGACGAGGGGGAGTACTCCCTCGCTCTCAAGTTTGGGGGACAGCCAGTCCCCCAGGGCTTCTACACCTTCTCTGTGAGTGGGGTAGTGGGGGGTTAGGGGGGACAGCCAGTCCCCCAGGGCTTCTACACCTTCTCCGTGAGTGAGGGAGTGGGTGGGGGGTTAGGGGGGACAGCCAGTCCCCCAGGGCTTCTACACCTTCTCTGTGAGTGGGGGGAGTGGGGGGTTAGGGGATTATTGTTCAACAAGTCTGCGACTTCTACACTTTTTTGAGATCTAAATGGTTTGTAATTTTTATTTCTTGATCATCCTCCTTGTTGTAGTTATTATAAACCAAAAATTATTTATAATCCAGCCTGCTCATACACGGATGAAAAATCCCGCATACTAGTTGCTCAAATGTAAGCGTTGTGAAAGGTACACTGTTAGAAAAATTACCGTTAACGGTATTATACCGGCGTTTCAGTGGCCGGTCTGCACGTGGAAAAAACACCGTTTCGCCGTTTTTATTCTAATTTAACACTAGAAATCCGTAATACGTCTGATGAAAACGGCGAAACAGTTTATTTTCACGGGGCGACCGGCCACTAGAACGCCAGTGGGACCGTTTTGTCACCGTTTTTTCTAACAGTGTATGAGGGGAAAGAGACGTCGTAAGTTACTCAACTGTCAGTTCACGACGGGTGGCATGGTAAAGGCGAACTCAATGAGGGGCGAAGAATAATACGTGGCCAGTGGTCGGCCTAGTCCCATTAGTTATATCTCAATAATACCAGAATTATAGCTCAACTATAACTCAATAATACCTGAGTGGCTGTGGTCGGCCTATCCAATTAGTTATAGCCGACCGTTGGCCATTCCTCGGCCCCCTGAAAGCGACCAGTTGCAACAAAAAATATAACTCAGTACTCACTGCAGTGAGTGACAGAGAGCGCATTTTCTCGTCGACGAAAACGTGAAGTCACGGACAGACAGACGGATATGGCGAGCACAATAGTGCATTTTTTTAATAAATGAGAAAATGCGCTAAAAAGGGGCTGGCTAGGATATCATATTACAAAGAGTACAAGCTCGAGGGTAATGACTAGCCGAACATTGGGCAGATCAAGAATTTCATACGATGGTCGCGAAAACCATCGTACGCAAGAAAATAGAGCGTAAGTACTTACGTTCACTTAGCGAGTTCTGAAAGTATGGCCCCTGGACTATACCCCAAGAGGGACTGGCAGGACTCAACTTTCGCAATCGAAGAACGGGTTGTGTTGCAATTTGGAATGAAATTGACGAAATCGAGTGATTCAGCATTCATCACGGGATGAATGCTGAGGAAATCTACACAAAACTGTGTGAGAAACTAGCACAGGTATGTGTGTGTCATACACCGAGAAAAATAGGGCCTAAAGTCCGCAGCATTCCGAGAGACAGACGAATCCTTACGAGAAAACGCGAAAAATAAAATCATTATTAAATAAATAAATAGCTGAATCCATTAGTGATTTGAGGAGATAGAGGCTGTTGCTGTTGCTGTTGTTGCTGTTGTTGCTGTTGCTGTTGTTGCTGTTGCTGTTGTTGCTGTTGTTGTTGTTGTTGTTGTTGTTGTTGTTGTTGCTGTTGTTGTTGTTGTTGTTGCTGTTGCTGTTGTTGTTGTTGTTGCTGTTGTTGTTGTTGTTGCTGTTGTTGCTGTTGTTGTTGTTTAAATAAATATAATATAATAGGTAGGAACATACGAAAATAAATATAATATAATATAATAGGTAAATATAATACCTGGAAAAGTAAATGAAATCCTGGTAGCAATTACCGTGGAGTAGTCCGTGCTCCAGCGATTCATAGAAAACGGCGTTTGATAGGAAACTGCTTTTACGGTAAACTATTGTAAATACGGGGCCCTTATTGCCTGGCTTGTGCCTCTTCTTTTATGATGCCTCTTGCACATTACAAGGCCCCATGGCATGCGCCCCATTACATCGAGGCCAATTACACGTGCCCAATTACACCGAAGCCAATTAATTACACGTGCCAATTACATCGACGCCAATTAATTACACGTGCCAATTACACCGACGCCAATTAATGACACGTGCCAATTACACCGACGCCAATTAATTACACGTGTGCGCTGCCAAGTGTCGGTCGCAGCTGTCGCGCCAGTCGCTGGGCTAGCGACCAACGCAGCTGTTGGCCCCACGCCTCCCCCAACCCCACGCCTCCCCAAACCCCTCGCCTCCCCAAACCCCACGCCTCCCCAAACCCCACGCCTCCCAAAA